GGCCTCCAACCTACTAGCGATGGCCTCCAACCTACTAGCGATGGTCTCCAACCTACTAGCGATGGCCGCGGCCTCCAACCTGCTAGAGATGGCCTCCAACCTAGTAGGTATCAAAACATGGAGTATATAGGTGTGGCAACGTTTACATAGGGTGTAACCCAAACAGGGTATTATTGTTGAAGAGTCCTCCATCATTGTCCATCACTTTTCAAGCAACAAATGCAGAAATGAAATGCTTGGTCTTCAATGATTTGAGGCTAGATCAGATTTGGGCGCCAAACAGGCCTTGCACAAACTGACCTCCTTGGATTGCATCAGTACAGCAACCCACTTGGCTGTCCGACGAGCCATCTTTGGGCCGCTTTGAGCCTGCAAATGCAATGAGGGATAGCTGTACGCCCGTCTTGACCCCACATTCCATTTTTCGACAATCGTGGAGAAGGTATTCCCCCATGAGGTTAAGAATGCGTCAAAGATAAAGAGGCTTCGGCCTTCAACATGTATGTATATATAATTAATTCTCTACGAGCCAAAAGAGCCATAGCGAGACCTGCCTTCGGAGTCTTTCTTGGCCCCATTCTTTGGAGCGACTGGGCGGCCAGCTCGGGAAGCACCAAGAATTTGCAAAATAATCTTGCGATAGTTGAACTGTGAAGGATATTCTGCGACCGATACAAATGCCGGTGAAAAGCAATCCGATGCCTTTGCGCAAGCTGATTGCCCCTCAATGAAAAAGCCAGCCAGTCTTTCAAACGTCGATGCCCTTCGGATACTGTAGCTTGTATGTAGCTTTGTGCTCCCTGCGCCATACCCTCGCTTTCTGTCATGCTCCCTAAAACAATGGTAGAAACAAGGGCTGCAATGCTCTGCCCGACGACAAGCGAAGGCACTCAGAATATTGTTTTGTTTCGTCGACCACAGCCGCAGCCATCGAAGCCAAAAGCCATTGGAAGCCATTCTGGCTGGGCCATCCGCAGCCGGGAAGACTACCATGGCTCCGTGCCCAAAGGGATCTGTCCGCCTTGAAGCTTCAACCATCCCTGAGCGGATTTGGCCCAAAGGCCGCTGTAAGTAGTTACTAGTAGCTTCTTGCTCCTAGTAGCGATGCCCATGTTCCTAGTAGCTTCTTGTTACTAGTAGCAATGCCAGGAGCTACTAGTAGCTTCTTGCTCCTAGTGAAAATGTTTGGAGGCGCAATGCCAGAGCTGTAAGATCCTTCACAAGTGGTCATGTCGCTACACAAAGTCAAGAAGAATGTGTATATTTGTACTGTACTGTATATGATTGTTTTATACATATTCCATGGCTTGGCGAATTGATGTCATGGTTTCCCTCCACACCCACCTTCCCGTAGTCGTGGCGGAAGTCTTCCGGCCGTGCTCCATTGGCTTTCGCCTGGAAATGGATCAAGGATCTATTGTGCGTTCAGGCGCGAGGATACCCTTGAGAGGGATGGATGAATGATGGTGAATGCCTAAGTCGGCCTAAGTGAATCTTCAGGATAAAGAGTGATATGGACTGAACCCTTCCACTCTCCTCCTTCAACACATTGAGCGGCACCTCGCCATAGGTCTTGGACCTCTTGTAGCGTTCGTAGAGATCATGCGATTTGCTACCAGGCCTCTTCTGATTCTCCTGCGATGGACGGGATGGATAGCCGCTAATTGTTGAACGCTCGGAGGTGATAAACACAACCGTTTCTCTCGCTTGCTGGGATAGTTCCCCTTCGCCATGGCCTTTGAAAACAAACATAATATAAATAACTAAATATATATATATAAGAACAATGAGAAAGCCAAGGGCATTCTTTCCCCTCTCATTGGAACGAGCCCTCCTTCCTGCTTGAGTCATCTGGTCATCCAGTCCTGCTCATACTCGAGCGGAGTGCTGTCTGGCAGTTCGCTCCATTTCACAGAATTGGACATTGTCCATCTGGACAAGTCCAGCTCGCCACAAGATCAGAAAGGCGTGCTTCCCTTGGGCTTTAGTGCCAACCACGTCTTCATCGGTGTCGAACCAAATAGCCATAGTGAGTCCAAAAAACAGGAACAAAGATGAACAAAGTATAAGAAAGTATGGAAGACAAAGATCTTCATCTGTTTGAGTTGGATGGGGGGGGACTGCTGTGACATGATGGCCAATGAATTGGTGGCCTGCCCACTCCGAGAGTGGCACAACGATTCACCTGTGAATCCTCTGGCACTTCCTAGCAAAACATGAGAGTAGCTCAAGTCTGACTATTCATCAGCCTGGTCGAGGAAAGTGACCCCATGATGCCAACAAGAAGCAAAAAGACACTGCAAATCAATTAACGTGGCATGTTGCGAAAGAAGTCCAAGAACAACTGCTACAGAACATCGCATTTGAGCCATCTTCAGTGCACAAACTGGGATGTCGTTGTAAAAGCTCATCGCGATGACATTGAGCCGGGTCTACCTAGTTCCAATTTCAAGCGGCATGGAAATTCGAATGAGCCAAGAAATCAATCATGAGAAGTGACAATAACACCTCCAAGAAAGGGTCAATGATGTTGCCCGAAGAAGTTCAAAATCTTTGCCGTGACTTTGGCAACTTCAGATCTGCCCGAGGAAAACCTGCAGATACAAAAGGAGAACGCTTGCATTGACCCAAATGCATGGAATAGTCCCCAATGAACTGGCTTTTGAAGGAAGGACCTCCAAATTCTGGCAAAGCGCTTTATGATGCTCCATCCTACATGCTCTTTCTGACTGTTCCACACCCAGACGTGCTGAGCACGGATCCATTTTTGCTCTGGCTGCAATTGCAGATCAGAAAACTAGTCAGCTGAAACTTAAATTCCGTCGCGGATGGTCTTACTCCTGCGCATCTTTGTCACGATTAGCAGGATGTTCATCTCAAACGTGCATACAGGCCCCAGGCAAAGCCTCGGGCAACCTCTCCAAAGATATGATCATCCAATCTTTTTAATGAAATGTCAGGCAAGGGAGCCGGCCAATGAGGGAGGCAAACCAAGAACACAGACGTGGTTGGGCAAGGCGTTGGAGATTGCTGCTATCATTGTTAACATCAAGCTGGCTGTTCGTGCATAAGGCAGTTTTTTCACATCTTTTCACTACTTGGAAAATGGCACCTCTCTCTTCAAAACTGCTGTCGAGACTGCCCTGTAGTACTGTAGGGCACCCAGATCCAAGTACTCCACAGATTACTTGCCAACAGGCGTTAACAAGACCAACAGAAAGAAAACAACTGAATGATCACACATGAATCTTGTAAGGCTAAGGCTGAGTCTAGTTACTAGTTATATACTAGTTCTTTAAATTCATGGTCTCTTCACCTTCCTTCTATCTTCATACTATTGTTGCTATTACAAAAAGAAACGATCCTAGCAACTTGCCTTTGGGTTTGTTGCTTGCATTTTTCTGTGAAATGTGACAGTGTGGCTTTCTTAAAGGGACAGGACAGCCATCCGACCGAATGCGCTCAAAGTGGACACTTCTGTTCCTCTGAACCCCCATGGGGGCGTTTCAGCTCGAAGCTCTCCAAACCAGTTACATCAACGACTGTTTCCTCCAAAGAACTCTCAGCGGGTTTTACTGAAACCTCTGAGCAAACTCAGCTCGGCTTCCTTTTGCATCCTTTTGCCACAGTTCTGAAGTTCTGATGCAACATATATCAACATATACTATATTTGGAGACTCCCACAGCAACCTTCCATGTGTCGCTCTTGGATTAAATAAAGCAAATCAGGGGTGTAAGCGCATAGGCGAACATGGTATAAAGATTTGAGTGGAGGGAACCAAACCTATGTTGTGGGTCTGCCACCCCTGGTTAGTTGAAATAACAGGTCCTTCCCAATAGGTCTTTGGCCCTACCACATGTTTAATTCTAGTGAGAGCGTGTCATGGGCTCGATCAGTACTGAGCATAAACATGAATGTTTTCTCAGAAACTCATTCCTGTCGTGTTTGGAGAACTTGCTCTTGTGTACAACCTCTACCCCAGCAGGTCTAGTGGGGCAAACTATCTAACAAAGAAGCGACAGCTCCGGACCGTTCAGGATAAGTTAGTTTCCAAGGAACAAACCGATTACCTACCCAAAGGAGGCTGAAAAATCCAGTTTGGCTGTGGCAGCTCTCGCCCATAATTGCACTTTCCATCCTTCTGATTTAGACCCTTGCTATGATGCTGAATACATTCCCCTGTCGCTGAGGTGACTAGTCTGAGAGGTGAAGTACGTCCAACCAAGAATATTGGGTGTCCACTGAAAACCCAGCATGTCTATTTACTGTAAATCGACTGAAGAAATGCATCCGATCTTCTCAGGTGCTTTCTGGGGTCAGATTTGAACAATCGGATCCTCAGTGTCTTGGTATCGTTGTGCTGCAAATTGCTAACCACCAAATGCCACAAAATGTGTCGCTAACCACTTCCGAACGGCAATCGCTATGGCGCAGCACGGCTCCAGACTGCGCAAAACAACGGGCGGACGAAGCACAGCCACCTTGTGCACAAACGCCTGTTTCGCACTTCGACAAGGCTGGGCCCAACATGCCCATAGGAGGTATATATTGTGTTTCTAATTGCAACAGAATGACACATCAAATGACTCAAAACTTCCACAAGAATGAAAATGTCCCGTTCGAAAACCACTAAAATCATTTTCAACCAAAGAGCTTCTACAGCACGGTCTTCAAGCACTCTTTCCGTGCGCGGCGCAGCCTGGAGCCGTATTGTCCAAGAACTGACACCACTCTACAGATGTCACACCTGGCATCTCCTGGCATCAATGACGCGTCTTAAGAGTCCAGTCTGAAGTCCAAGAGACCACAAAAAGACCGTTCTTCCAGAAGCGTTCTTGTAAGGAGGCCAGTGGAGGCCGAAGAAACACGCATGAGCATGGAAATAGACTCACAGTCTTGAAATGATCACCGGAGCTAGCCTATCTGGACGCTTGGCCAAACAATATGCATGATGCCAAAGCATTAGCATCTTTTTGCCAAGATTCTAGTTGTCTGAAACAAAAACAAAGTGATTGGACCTCAACTGGAATCAATGTGCCCAGCCTCACTGGTGATTCTGGGTCATGGGCGCCATCTGCCCCATTTGTGGAGTCATTTGTTGGTTCGGCGTTGGAGGCTGCTGCTGTTGTTGCATGTTGTCCTGGCGGCGCATGCACGACTTCACCACTAAACTATTTTAGTCCTTGTGGGAAAGCAGCTTCGGTTGGCTTGGGGAGATAGAGCCTAATCAGGACGGGAGAGATGCTAAGCAGCCGGAGACATGCCCCTGTAGAAGGTCACAAGCAGCATAGGGGAGGCCTTGAATGTTCCTAAACTTATAACGGAGGTTCAGGCAGAGGGGAAAATTAAGTGGCAACACTCGTATAGGCTTAGCGGCTTCCCTATCAGCAAGTGGTACTGTCACCTCCCAAACATGAAGCTGCTTTGTGGTTAGGCTGCTGGGGTTGTCTGCAAACGCTCGCGAAGGGTGGACGTAACTCAGTCAAAGCCAAGTTTCAAAATGTTCAACTAGAATTAGGGAGCTTAGTGAATTTTGGTGGTGTAGCATGCTGATCATATATTTATGCCTGGGACATGTACTGTGAATCGTGATGGTCCCTTGTTGACATTCTCCAAGAGTCCATTGTTGTACTGCGGGGCCATATTCTTTGCACTGTGTCAGTCTGTGCGTTGGTTCTGTGTAGGATTCTTAGAGTCGTGGAGGTTTGAGTTCGGTCTTGTTTAGGACGGACACATCCTACTAAACCTGATTGCCCTGTTGAAGAAAGACGCCACAACATGTGTATATATATAGCGAAACACGAAAGGAATCGGATCTAGAGAAGCGTCAAGACTTTGACTTTAAGTGTGGTTTCAGGGTGAAATGTTCTTGTCACTTGTCATTGATGTGTCAGCTCTGATAAGGTGCTATCATTCTTCAAACGTGGGGCAAACCCAGAGTAATGAAGTGCTAAGTGGGGACCCGGCGCTTCCCTGGCCAGATGACCGGGTTCATCTGAGCAACCAGGTGGACTGAAAAAGTGGCCGACTTCAGTCCTGCACCATGACAATACCAGCGGGAAAGCAACCGCCGCAGCCGCAACTGCCAGGTCCTGCAAGGTGCGGCCCTCAAGTCTTCATACTGGCCATATTGGTACATTGGCCCCCAAAGACAGCAAAGATCTTGTCCTGGGTAAGAACTAAGCCTAAGCTGCTGGTCCCCCGAATCCACAACGGGCTATTTCCCAACCAAATCTGTTAGTCAAGTGATACACACCCTGCTTCATTCTGGTCTAGCACAAATCAATATATGCCTTGCACAATCCACAAACCTGTTGATAACATCGCATGGTCACGGTCCATGTGTCTTTTGGATCCGACCTATAATATACAGTACAGTAGTATGATTGCAAGTGGAGAATTGCTATAACATACACAGTCCTGGTGAATGGAACAAGCGTAATAATACATATATATATATATAATATAGTTATATAGTAATATAGTTGTAAGGGAGGGGACGAAAGCCAGCCTTTGCGCCAAGGGGGGTGCCCTCAGGGGCGTGTTGGAGGGTAGAGTTGAGAAAGAACAGCTGGAAGTGGTGAAGCTGACATCGCAGCCACTCTGATAGGAAGTAGAAACAGAAAGTATAGTACACAGGTTCGCGGGGGTGCCCTTTTTCGTCGTGGTTGGGGGTCGTATTGGAAGTGAAAAAGGGCACCCTCGAAGGAAGTGAGGGGTGGTAGCTTGCTGTGCAGTGCCAACCAGTGAGCAAAGATGGTTATGGGGGGTCGAGGGGCGAGGTTATCGGGAGACTTTCGGGACGAGACATATATGCATATAGGTAGGGTGGAGAAAGAATTGCCGGAAGCGGTGAAGTTGATATTGCAGCCCCTTGACTGTGCAAGATGAAGTGATTGGTGAACATCGAGCAAAGCGTACCTTTGTGTAGTGAAGTCGATATTGTAGACACTTGCATGAGTAGAAAGAGAAGGTAGAATACCTAGTTTGGGGGGCCCTTTTCGTATTGGTGGAGGACCGTTTCCGAGGTGAA